TGTGTGTGTGTGTGTGTGTGTGTGTGTGTGTGTGTGTGTGTGTGTGTGTTCAGGTGTTCAGAGACATGACGGTAGGTGAAGGTGAGATGGTGTGTGTGGAGCTGGTGGCCAGCGACAAGAGCAACACCTTCCAGGGGGTCATCTTCCAGGGCTCCATCCGCTAYGAGGCGCTCAAGAAGGTTTACGATAACCGGGTGAGAAACCTGCAGAGCGCTGTTCACACTCTTAGTTGACATGCTAACACTGTTAGCTCACATGCTAACACAAAACCATGTGCATAAAACATGACAAAAACATGCAAACAGCCCCACCTCTAATGAACATGTTAGTGAAGTGTTTTTATGCACAGAAACACTTTTAGCCTGTGCTGCTAATAGTTAGCATAATAGTTAGCTGGTTTTCTGGCTACAGCACGGTCCGGTTCACAGATTTGAGCTTTACTTGTTAATCAATAGAATGCTAGTAGTTTTAGTAGCATCTGGCTAATGTTTGCTATTAGCAGGATAAAAAAATATTTTCAGCTTAAACACACAGAACAACCAACAGACGTGTTAGCAGTTTATTGTTGTACACAAGTAGCTGTATTAGCTGTTATCATGCTAATATAGCAATTGTTAGATTAGCATGAGCTGTTTTGTATCAATTAGCAGAATGCTACTGTAGCCATATAGCCAGATGATTTTATTTAGGCTGTGGATAAAAACGTAWCTGTGTTGTTAGTTTCAGTTGATAAATGTTCAGTAGTTAATGTTAGTAATAGGCTAAAGTTAGCATCTTGCTAATATGAATGTTTTGTTAGTTACTGGGTGTTACTAATTGGGCTCATTGATAGCTTTACAATGTTAGCAGTCTGTTATTGCTAGCTGGTAGCAGTGTTAGCCATTAGCTAATAGATTTTGCTGGTCGGTATATAAAAAGTTCACTTATGTAGCCATCTAGGATGTTGGTAATGTTAGCAGATCGATAATGTTAGCAGATTGGTAATGTTAGCAGATTGGTAATGTTAGCAGTGTGGTAATGTTAACAGATTGGTAATGTTAACAGATTGGTAATGTTAACAGATTGGTAATGTTAGCAGTGTGGTAATGTTAGCAGTGTAGTAACGTTAGCAGTGTGATAATATTAGCAGATTGGTAATGTTAGCAGTGTGGTAACATTAGCAGTGTGTTAATGTTAGCAGTGTGGTAATGTTAGCAGTGTGGTAGTGTTAGCAGTGTGGTAGTGTTAACAGATTGGTAATGTTAGCAGTGTGGTAATGTTAGCAGTGTGGTAACGTTAGCAGTGTGTTATTGTTAGCAGTGTGGTAATGTTAACAGATTGGTAATGTTAGCAGATTGGTAATGTTAGCAGATTGGTAATGTTAGCAG